TAAACGCTGCATTTGCTTTTCTGAAGCATTCCCAAGCCGTGTTCGGTGTCTAATTTTATGGAGTATAGTACGTTTGATGAAGAAATAAGGAATTAGTATTCATTTATGGTATTTGTAAATAATTAAATTGAAATAGATACAACAAACAAATTGGACCGAATGCCAGGCTCCAGGTGATTAAATAGATATACTACTCTCTCCTATACAACCTTGGGAGCTGGCACAATGAATTACAAGATAATTTTACAATAAGAGAAATTTTACACTGAGGTTTACTTTTTTACTGATAAACATATAGCAAAGAAATTCAGAAATTACTTTTGTGGATCTTAATCAAGAAACTATGCACTATCTCCTATATTAATTTGAAAAAAAAATTTTTTTCCTCAGTGAATGAATGATTCCTTACTTACTTGTTTAATTTTTAAAACTTAAAACACGTTAATAGACTAAACATTTCTTTTTATTACCTTTCAAATTGATTTTGATAATTTCCTTTTTTTTGGGGGGGGAGAGAAGTAACTTTATACGAGGATGTTCTCTGGATCTATTATAAATAAATTGCATTTTAAAAATGAATTTCTTCTTTAGTTCCAAGCAATTTTTTCCAGTACATAAAAAAGCAGCATTTTATTTAAAACTACCTCAAAACTAGCCACGTAAGCATTAATGAAATCACCAAAAATAGTTTTTATTAATAAAAATTCAGAACTGTTCTATGTCTTATAAGATAAAAATAAAAATTTTCATAATTAAATCCTTAAGCATTTTTACGGTAGTATTTAAACAAAATTCATTCATTTAAGAATTGTGTGAAAACGTTTATAATGCTCTATTTCTCAATATCAATTTTAAAATTTATCAAAAGACACGAGCAACACTTTTATGAGAAAAAATAGCCGTGTTCATTTGACAAAATAATAATAAGCAACTTTCATAAATTAGTTTAGGAACGACATCAGTGTTTCATTGGAATAATCCTGAACTTAAAGTATGCTATTTCTAGTTGAACTTTTTGAATTTTGTTGATTGTAATGGCTCATTGATTGTTACATTCCTATTCATAAAATTATTTCAGTTACATATCCTTCTGACTATTTGGATGATTTATCAAAAATTTAAATAAATAAAATTACAAGATTTATTATTGTTTTCCAGAAAATATTTTTCATTTTTTAGAAAAAAGTATACCATCTCTTTCCTTCTTTCTACCTTTCAGCAGCGTCAACTACTATGTCTAGAGCTAATTTGATTCGTAGAATATATTTCGTTAATAAAGTTGAGTGCCTTCAGGGTCATTAAAAGTTTCTACTCTAGATTTGGTAGTGTCCCCACGGGTTCCAAATAAGTTTCGTTTGAACTCAGCGAAATAGTAGTTCCTTCATCCTCAGCTTTTTGTAAAGCAGGAAAGATGAAAAATAGCAACAGCCTTCGCCGGGAATCTAACCACAGATCTCTGGAATACTGGCTCAGCGTGCAGAACCACTACACCACGAAGGCACGCTAGGAAGGCGGGAGAAATACCTTATAACCTGATTCCTTACCATTCGCCGTTTCTGTGATTATTCAAAAACTGCTGTAATAACAGTACTTGACTATCCCCTCCTTTTAAATATTCAACTAAGGCACTTTTATCAAGTTTCGAAAAGTTACATGTAAATAATCTAAAAAATTATAAAAAAAATAAATCTGAAAGTTTTCACATTTTATATAAATTCTACGCCGGCGTTTTTTCATTTACAGTCACATACACGTTTTGAGGGCATTTGAGCTAACGCCACTTTGGGCTAAAAATATTTAAAAGCAGCATACCTTTAGAATTTCCGATAGACAGTCTCGCACGCTGGAGATAAAAATATTTTACTCCCTGAAGTGCTGCCACTGCTATCTTTGCAATCGTTGCGTTTTTTAAGAAACAATTCATTAAGATTTTTCAAAATATGAAGTAGAAAATAAAACAAATTCGAGCTTCCAGGTGCTCATATTTGGGTTCAGGGCTCTGGTATTCAAAATTGGATGGATCTATGTACCATTGTTTTTTCACAGTGCGAGAAATATGCGTACGTTCATGCGGATTCTTCATTATTTAACTTCTTTAAATATAATACAGGACGATAATATTTGATGGCAACAATTTAAAAAGTGATTCAGACTTTTATAGTGATTTAACGCAAAATCCCGTTTTGAGACCAATATAGCCCTTCTTCGCTAAGCCATTTGGGTAATAATTTTCTATTATTACATTTTTAACTGAGAAAAAGCTTTAGAATTGAACTATGTCGTAGAGTTGGCGTTCCTTGTAACGTCCCCTCTTGTTCTGCAGAAATTTCCGATACAGAGACTCACGCGCTGGAGATAAAAAGATTTTTTTTCCCCTCCGTAGAGTGTTGCCATTGCTCGCTTTTAAATCGTTGAGTTTGTTACTCAAAAAATTCGTTAAATTTTTACAGGATATGAAATCGATAATAAAACAAATTCCAAATTTCAAAGTTGGTCCTCCATATGTCCATATTCGTAGGAGGATTACGTCAATCAAAATTCGATGGCTCTATGTACCGTTGTTTTATCACAGTGCGAGAAATATACATACATTTATGCAGATTTTTCATCATTTAATTTCTTCAAATATAATGCAGGACTCTAATATTTGGACGCAACAGTTTGAAAAGTGAAACGGACATTTATAGTGATTCAACGCAAAATCTCAAAACGAAAACAATAGTCCTTCAGAGACAAAGTCCCTTTGGACTAAAAAAAAAAGTGATTGTGACAGCGGAACTAGGTTTAATATACACTGGTGTGCAAAACTTAAGCAACAATGTAAATTTTAATCAGATAGCCATACAGTTGTAGAAAAGGGGTTCTAGCGTTCAGTACAATGAACACGCAATTCAGTAGAAAGGTCATGCGTATGCAAATATCAAGAAAAAAAACGTCACAGGCTACGTGAGCATTCGCAAAACGCGTACGGTCGCCTCGCTTAACTCGAGATTACCATAAAAGGAAGGATGGAGATGCAATTAAAGACATTCGCTGCAAGTACAAGGAGTTCTTTCGTGAAATATTTGGGCTAGAAGAAATGATCTGGATGACTTCACACGTGGAAGAATGATCGAAAATCTGGAGTAGGGGCGAAGTGTGACCAGTATAGCTGAAGAGATCGGAATCAACAAAAGTGGCGCTTCGCGCGTTTAGAAAGCCTTTCATACCATAGATACAGCTATTAGAAATCTTGGTCGTGGCCGTCCCAGGAAAACAACTGCAGCAAATAACCGACATATAGTCCTGCAGATGAAAAGAGTCCGAAACCAGTCAGCAAACACCCCAGCTCAACAACTGTGAACAGCAACGGGCGACAATTGTCGTGGTTTACTGTGTCCAAACACCTTCACAAAGGTGGCCTATGCGCCTGCCGTCCTGAGCGCTGCATCCCTTTGAAAGTTGGCCAGCGGCATCACCATTTACTGTGGTGCAAGGAGCGCAAAAACTGGGCATCTCATCAATGGAGTCGTATCCTCCTTACGGATGAGAATCGTTTTAGTGCCACAAGCGATTCTCAACACAAATTAATTTGGAGAGAGGTCGGGAAACGGTTTAATCTCAGTAACATTACGGAAAGAGACCGTTACGGCGTCCTGAAGATCTCGTCTGGAGAGGCATTATGCTGAACGGTCGGACGGAGCTCCACGTTTTTGACAGAAGTTCTGTAACCGGAGATCGCTATCGTCAGGAGGTGATCCTTCCCCATGTGCGTCTGTTCCGAGATGCCATTGGAGCAGTCTAATGTAAATATATTGTAATAAAATTATTACAGGATTAATTTAATTTTCAATGAAATTTTTACGAGTTGCACTATAAAACATTTGCAGAGTTTATTATCGAAATTCAATACTTTTTTTTAAACAAAGAACAGGAAAGAACGTAAAAGATATTAATTATTACATCCTGTTTTTTTGTTGCCATTTAGGACATGGGGCAGCTCCTTCCCAATTTGAAATTTTATTTAACCTGAAATGCTTCCTATAGTAACGTAAATGCAATTAATAAATGTAAGTATCAATGTTTATGAAATATAAGTTTTTGAAATACAAGCATGAAACATATTTAAAAATTCCGCCTATTAGAATATACAGCTATTATTAGAATATACAGAATATTTGGAAAAGCTATAATTACAGCTTTGCTTAATTGAAATGAAACTTGTAAATAATTTAGCAATAAAGTTTCTTTAAATTGTAATAGAATACTTAATAGTATGTAGTAATAATACGGTATAATGCAAATTATTGTTAAATTCCTCCTTTTTTTTTTTTTTTTTTTTTTTTTTTTGCCCATGATATTACTTTACTTTAATTTATTTAAAAAGAAAATGCGGTTTAAATAGCTATTTTTTTATAATGTTCAACAATTTACTACTCATTCATATATCATCGACTACCACTTAATGTTTCATAATCGACTTAATGATTTTCTGCTAAAACTGTTGTTCTTAGAAAGTATGCAGGAAGAAGTTTAATATGTCAAATCATGCGAAGGTTAATTGCATTAAGAAATGATTTTCATGGAAGACTTTTTAAAAGAATCTAGTTCGTAATTTCGTGACGAAAATGGAACAAATTCAGAAATTATTCCCATCGTATGAATTTATTCTGATATTCAGAATAAAATCTGGATGAAACTAAGAATTCTATTCTTTTTATCAAATACTGCTGAAACACTCTAAAAAACAGACTGAGAATCTTACCGATCTTCTTATTTTTTCCTGTTTGAGATAACCACATGTATATCAGAAATATTTCAGATAAAGTAGCTTTGAATTTTACGCCTGAAATGTATGAACTTCTTTAATGGTAGCCAATTTCTCATAATATTATGTAAGAGAATTAATTTATTAATTCTTATATATAAACCAAAGTACATTGGTGGCCAGTTTGATTTGTCCAACATGTTCTGCTTGTATTAATTCTTCTTATTAATAAATTTATTATGTGCTTGTTTAGTATTATGGAAGACTCAAACGAAAAAGAAAAGAAATGCACCGAAAACAAATTTAAAGAAAACTGCTTATTATTTCGAGACGCTGTACTAAAGGAATTGGGGCTTCACGTCAAAGACTTGAGCAGTTTTCAAGCCTTTGCTAAGCTCTTATATTCTCCCAGAGATCCTTCAAACCTGGCTGTTATTCGGATATTCTATGGTAAGAACTCTTCAGTAGTGGTAAAATTTATTACATAAATAAATGTTTATCAGCTTTCTTCAATAGGCTTTTAACAAAGTTATCACTTTGTAAATTTATTTCGAACTTTTTTAAGATTTTGAAACTTAATCTGAGTTTACTAGCAATAAATTGCACATCAGTTTGGCAAGACATTACTTACAAATATCGTTAATACAATGCTCGAACTGCTCCACACTAGATAAAGTTTAGAATTATACAATGGGTGACATTATAATTCTGGATGTAATAATAGTCTTGTTGCACGAAACAACAATTAGCAGACTGAGATAGGCCGCTCATAAGACTGATATATTCTGTTAAATATCTTTGGGTAGAATTAGCGTAACGGACGAAGCTTAAGCCGACACACCTGATACAATATAATTAATATTTCATCTCTATCAACAGAACTCCTTCTACTTAATATATGCTTTAAGACTAGAATGGAAGCTTTTTGAATCACTGCCCTTGCTGTAAAGAGAGTTCCATTGTCCAAACTGTGATTGTTGCATCACAGTTTGAGGTAAACATATTCACTTCTGAGAAGTCAAATTATCTGGGTGTTAATGAGCAACATACATTCATCTGTTACTTATGTCTAAATCCTACCAAAACTTCTCTACAGATGACAACTTCTCTACAGAAGATTTGTCATTTCCAATCGGTTATTGGTTACTATGTGTTACATAATGAAACATAAGTAATTTGCCCTCTACGTAGAGTTCCCCCCCTCTACAGGCGAATAGGTTACTCAACCTTGAGTTCTAAGCGTATGTTTATATCACACAGAGCACTTCTATTCAGTTGGATACGCATAGCATCAGAGGTCAATATTTGTTCACAGTTGAGTCATGGCTCTATTTTTCTTTTAAATGAAAATAGTGCACAACTTTAAAGAACAACCAAAACTTGAAAAATATGAAATATATAGGAAAATATGGGAAGACTGCTTGATCAAAACATTCCTGAATGCAAGGACTTTTTATGAATGCACGTAAAGAAAAGCATTGCTGCTTGACCTCTTCCAAAACCTTTAAAAAACTGAACACAAGTTGATATGCACATAAATGTTTCTTGTTATTTAAGTATCTACAACGGAACACAGAACATTGTACGGAAATGCCAAATGTGTGTTTTAGGTAGAAGATGTTCCACCTAACAGGAATAGTTGTTAAGGACGGTGACTGCCGTTCCGAGGGCCCAGGTTTGAATCTTAGAGAAGGCATAGAATTTTGTAAATGTATAGTGTCTGAGGCACTCTAAATATGCGGTGAGCCGAAAGTCCTTTCGAGAGGTTGCTGTTAGTGGAAGAGGGGTGGCAGATTCTCGGACCTGCCCCTCACGGGGTGCTCTTCATCGAAATTGGGGGCAGAACTGAGAAAAGGCATACCGTCACCTGTATAGTGCTCAAGGCTCTTGCCAGTGACAGGATCAGTCTCGCACTCCTTGCCACGCTGAATTTTGTGGACTTGTTCTGATGTTAGTGCCAGACAATTGAGATAAGTCACAACAGCAAGTAAAAGAGGTTGTGATCCAAGTTAAAATTAATTATTCCTGTTATGATTTTTAAAATTTTTCTTTTCTTTCCCCTTAATTGTGGAATTTTTTCTGTAATAATACCTTAGTAGTTTATCAATACTACACACACACTCAGCGAAAAAAAAGTATATTATGTATTTTTTCTAAATGTTTTATTTTTCCTTGCTTCAAAGTTATTTGAAAAAGAAATTATAAACGCTGGGTGGAGGATATATTAAAAGTTAACTGAGTAGTTTTTCTGTTCTCAGGATTCTTAATGATTATCGACATTCACCATGAAAGAGGACTATCATCTGCAGACAGCAGATGGGGAAATCCTGAAGAATGCAGATTTCCTTTCTTTAATTTTTTGAAACCTTTACCTTTGGAATGGATGATTACGATCTACCTCCTCATGCTGTTCGGTAAGTACAGAAGTATTTTCTTTTTAATATTTTAAGAACTTAAAAATTCGATGATTTGATAAACTTTATCCCATAACTGCTGTTCTTATGCTCTTCTGACTTGAAAACGGGGCTATTGCATTGCCATAACTCTCAAAGTCTACTGTATTGTCAAAGATCTCAATAAACATTATTTTAAACTCTTGTTGTAAATACCATGCCTACTGTATAATAAGAAGGTGTCCTTTAACACATTATCCACGGTTAATGATATTACTGCTGAACACTGGGTGTTCCCAGGGTTGATTATAGAGACAATTAAATCTTATATACAGAAAACGCGGGGGAAAAAGAAAAAGGAAAAGAACTGTCTTATCAGAGTTCGAATACCTTTTGATGGGCTAACATTTACAGTTTAACAGTATGCGTGGGAGAACGTGATGATTTCTTGCATTTCATACTGCTTTAAAAGACAATAGAGTGAGACACAATATTGAAAAAGGAGCTTAGCATTCAATCGACCAAATCCAGGTGGTACGCTAGTTAGAACTATTCGCTTTCAAGCACCTCTTCTCTTTTTTGCACATGCAGATTATACCTTGTATAAGTATATTTAACAAATATGAAATAAGTACGCAATTAATGGGATTAATTAATCATATTAGAAAGAATCGTTTATTTAGTATTTATTAATTGTCTAAAAATTATGAAAGCCAATAATAAATAAGATATTATTTTAATTTCTCTGCTAATAAAAAATTAGTATGTAAGTAATGCATTTATTAAATTATATTATAAATATTATTTATTTAGTAGCTATTATATACTTGCAAAAACTTAACAATGGAAATAATAGGTTAAGATAATAGTTTCATTTCTTTGCAGTAAAAATTACATATTCATACAATTATAAAAATTTCATAACAAAACTACACAATAAAAACCACATACATACAACTACAAAAATAAAATAAATGTGATTAATATTACAACTGTAAAAATAATTTAAAAATATTAAATCAGTGAAATGAAGAAGTTTGCTTTAAAGTAAGTAGTTAGCCAATGTTACAATACAGCATTGTTACCAGGAGACGTAAAATGGGAGCTTCAACTGTTTGTTAGTGATTTTTCCGTTTTCCAAAATTGGCATGCAGCACTAAAACTTCATTCTGTTAAATGTGATGCTTTCTTCCTTTCTAGAGCCGGATGCTAAGCTCATTTTGTACAAACGAAACTATCGATCATTTAGTCATCTAATACCTCAAAGCGTGCTCAGAGTGCATTTCCGGAGAGACCAATAAATACTACACCTGCATAAAGGCAGACAGACAAGTACAAATATACGTGCCTTATCTGATGTTCCCACCCATCGCTATGGTAGGCAGCTCCGTGAGACGTCATATTGAAAAAGAAGCACTAAATATGTGGAAATGAAAGAGAGAAGTGGAAATAATTTACTATGTGTAATATTAACTAATACTAAATAAATACGCTTTATCTTATTGTAATATCACTATAATAAACCATCAGTACTGCTACCTTTTTAAAATCTAAACTCACTAGCATTTAAAACGGTCTCAAGGAATCAGTAGTGACCACTTTGAGAATCATTGATTTAGTGCTAAAAGGTAAACTTTCAGCTGTTCACTTCAACCAAAATGAGACTCGAGAAGAAGGTAATTTTTTTTTAATTCTCTTTATATACCGAAGTTTGATTATGAATCTTATCACTTGTGTGCAAATATATCTTAAAATATTCCGTTTAACAAAACTTGTCTCAGACTTAGTCGGGAATAAATGCCACAAGCAAAAACAGATAAATGCAGGATGTACAGGAAATGCTCATTTGACAGGTAAAAAGATTGTAGAGATATTTAGAATTTTCGGAAACGAGAAGCGTGTGAAAATCAGTTATGACCTTGCCAGAATTCGGACTGATTCTTGCTTGTTTTCCGGACATGCTTCCAATTACATCCCGAAACCTGCTGTAAGGAAGAAGAAAATTCCGTACAAGATTAGGTTACAAGGTTAAACTGGATAATATCAAATACACAAAGGTTATCTGACTAAGACGACGGATGTCTTCATGAGGATATTTGAAGGTGAAGTGGGTTCTATTCGCGTTACACATGCGGAATACCACGGAAACTTCTTTGCATCTAGTCGATTTGCCGGCAATTGAACTCTCATTTAACTACCAATACTTAAGGACTTGGACTTTACCGCTTGGCCATTAGTGGGCTAGATAACAAGTAGCTGATCGCTTATAAAACTCTCAATACACTTTTAGCATCAATTCGACGTCATTTACTACTTACAATCCAGGTATCGGGTGGTATCAAGGGAAACCATTCGGAGACGACTAGCCGACGCTGGTATATGGTGTCGACGTCCATCAGTGCTGATGACAATTGCACACGCATGTGGAGGCGACCAGGCCAGCGATCCGACCTGGCATTTGTTGTCAAGCGGCATACGGCGATTGCACATGATGTGACAGCGATTACACATGGTGCGACAGTGGATTACACATGGTCACTTCTCATCGTCCTTCAAGGGACTAAAACAGCTCCCAGTTACGTGGATAACATTTTAACGCCTGTTGTACTGCTTCTGCTATCAAATCGCCCAAGTGCCAATTATCAGCAAGACAATACTCATCTACATACTGCGTAACTCTCCCAACAGTGTCTTGGAGGATATGATGTACTCCTGTGGCCTGCCAAGTCACCAAACCTCATGCCGATTGAGCAAGTTTATGACATGCTTGAAAAGCAACTGCAGCCGTTCCGAAATATTGGTGAATTAACTACTCAGTTGCAAAGATTATTGAATGAGCTTCTGCAGGGGGTAAGAAGTGACCTATTTGATTCGATGCCACGCCGTATTTCGGCTTGTATAGCTGTCAAAGGCGGCTATACAGCTTACTGATTAGTAACATTTTTCCTGCCATAACTTCTTAAAAAAAGATCTTTTGTTCTGAATTTGAACACATTTGTTTATCTTCTCATACACTACACACATGTTAAGTTTCGTGATAGTAGTTAGTTTCCTTCCGGGTACATACACTGTTTTGTAACAGAGTGTATATGGGAAGTGATCCGGCATAATCATGCCAGCTTGACGAAAATGCTTTAGAATTTTTTTGTTCCAATTGCTTTTGAGTTTCCCATCTTTGCGCACTTATTGGCGATATTCGTTTTTATTTAGTTTCAAGTAAAGTGCTCCTTGTAACATTGGTATTGCATCCAATTTCCAAAACTGAATATTCACCATTCTCTGAATGATGTTCAGTTATATTTTTTTAATTCCTAATTTGCTTATAATTTATTGTTTGTGTCTTAATAATGATTAACATTTTCCTCATTGATGACGTATAATTGAGACCAAAAAGCATCAAATAAAATACAATTTAAAAAAAGTTTTTTATGCAGTAATATTTTCTTTTTAATAGGTATGATAATTCACTAAGAGTAGAAAAATAGTTTATCTTGTAGTTTAGTTGAAATAATAAACTAAATAATTCTATTTACAGAATTAATCTATAATATTATATCGTGAATAATAAAAGCTTGAGTCACCTACAATAAATTAAAAAGATAATTCCAAATGCAATTAAATTAATAGATTTCATTAATTATGTACCCCAGGCTTTTATTGTTCGTGATGTAAAATTGTAATGGAATTCTGTAAACCGAATTATTTAATCTATAATTCCCCTTGAAGTATATGATAAATTACTTCTTTTCCTTTTAGTGCATTAATTATTATATCCAATTCAAATAACAGCTTACTGTACAAAAACCTTTTTTTAAATAGTATTTTATTTTCCAAACCGAATTTAAAGGAAGATTAGCTTCCTCGAATAAGTTTTAGCATGCATTTATCATGTGGGAAAATACTGAGACTTATTAAAATGGCGTTTGGGATACTGAGAACACTCAAGAAATATTTAATAAGCAATCACAAAAGCATTACCATCTTAACACCCACTGAGTATTTTATTTCCTCCAGTATTTATAGCTGTTTTCTATTTTATAGGTTCCACAGGAATCATGCTTGGGTACCGCTTTCGTTGCAGCTGCTTGTGTTTTCTTATTCCCTATTGGTACATATTTCTCTTAGACAAAACTCATTGGAATAATCACTCGTATCTCTTTGGTCTTCTTGGTACTCAACTGATGCTCAGCGGAGCAAACCGATGCTGGTGAGTTCAAACATATCGTCCGACATTGTTAAAAATATTATAATCAGAAATACAGTTACTTCTAGATTAACCAGTTGGGAATTAACCGGGTCCTGTCTAAAAAAAAAAGTTAAATTTGTTAGCGGAAAAATTACGATCACGAATTAGTAATGCAAATTAAACAAAATTGTCAATTGAAAATACAAATAGGGAAAAAAAAAAAAAAAAAAAAAAAAAAAAAAAAAGGTGGGATAACAATAGTGATAGCAGTTTATATTATACTACTTAAAGTTTGCTTTTAAAAACAGCAGTAAGTAATTTAATTATTTAATTATTGTATGTAATCTCAATTGTACTATAAGGTCTTTCTCCAGCTTTCTTAGCGTGCCTTCGTGGTGCATTGGTCTGCACGCTCAGCGCGTAATTGAGAGGTCCGCGGTTCGATTCCCGGCGAAAGCGTTGCTAATTTTTCATCTTGCCTGCTTCCAAAAATACCTAATGTCTCTACAGTATATCAACATTGTTTCATAAAAAACTAAGAATTCTAATCGATTTCTTCACGCCAATTTCAGTGTTTACTTATGAATATTATTTGTAATACTGCTTATAATTCAGTTTCTTTGTTCATTGATAATATTTATTCTTTGGTTAATTAGAAAGTGTTCTTTTTATTTTTTATGCTTTTTTAATCCATATAACCAAACAATACTTCAAATGCCTGAAAATTTAAGTTCGTTAATAGTATTTCTCGAATAATATTTATAATAATCTCGCAGATGAATTAATTTGTTGAATATGATTCTTTGGAACCTGGTGCCTAAACATCGTTTACAACATATTCTGTTTTCAGCTATTATATTCAAGGGGTATCAGATTACCTTTAGTTACACCTGTTATTATTTCCCCCTAACCGAATGCTGAAACAGTTTATCGTATTGAATACCAGATTTCGATAATTTTCCCTTTACTTAACTGAGCAATTTTTTAATAGCTTCTTGAAACTTTAACTCGATTGAAAGTTTTTAAAGTTTCAAAACTATTACTAACACTTTTTCTCTATTTTAGGTCATTAGATGGAAGGAGAGATCAAAGGATTAGAAATACACATGTACCATTATGGAATTACGCCTTATTAAGAGGGCAGGTAATCTTGGCAATCTATTTTGTGTTCATAGAAAATATTCATAACTCATTATAGTAATCTGTTAGATATGTTATAAATTACAGCATACTGTCGGTTAATAGAGATAATACTCGAGATGACGTCCACGGCTAACCTAAAATCATGCTTAATCTGACAGCAGTTAACCAAGCTTGGAAACAGAAATATCCCACACTGTTATCAACAGAAAAAAGTTACTAACAACTTTCAGACCCACCAGCGGCCGAGGCTGAAAGTTCGTGAATATTGGTAGCTTAGTCTGTGGTTCGAAACTCATGAATGGGCCCCTCTTTAAAAAATATGGTTTCTTGATATGTCTTTCAGTAAACAATTCCGTCTGAATTATCCCTTTCTAATCAATAAAAGTCATCAGTATGGTCTTGATTCGAGATTTCTGAAATCGAAGTTCCTGACAGGCATCGTTAACCTTCTCCAAAAGAAGCAGATGATTGTTGTTTTGCATCAGAACCATAAGCAAAGTAGCTACTTCACATGCATTTGCAATCACTTTGAAACAAAAATCAAACCTAATGTCTGCCATTTGAAATCAAATCATGAGATGAATTATTTCAGTTTTTGAATCCGTTATAGCTAATGTTCAGTAGATTAAAGCAAGCGATTAACGGCATAGAAATTTCTGTAAGTAAACAGACGACATTTTAGGAAAAGTAAATCGAGATATTATAGTAATAAATATTCGTTATCGTTTCGTAAGTTTTTTGAAAATTTAGTAAACAAATTAATTATGAAATTTTGTTGATGCACTGTGTGTGCACGATGAGTCAAAATAACAGCTGAGACTCAATTATGATAACTAAAAACCGAAACTCATGGTCTCAGATGATTACTATGAGACGAATTTTGACTTGTATGTTTGTCCTTCATTTATTAATTTAGCGGTTTTACATTTATGATATTAAGTAATGATACTGTAAAATGTCCCGAATAAAGTGAAAAGGTAGCAAATAAAAGAAAAGTATTTTTGCCCCGGAGTTTTTTCCTCGCTCAGATAATATTTTTGCTGAATGGTCTCGATAGCACTAGTACTTTATTTGACTTATAGTAATTAATTATAATTAAATTAAAAGTAAATTAAAAGTAATTAATTATAGTAATTAATAATTTCATTTACTTTTTCCTCCACAAAATACTTTTTAGGGTTATATTTGTGTTTGAACATTTTAACTTAGAGTACTGAAGAAAAATGCTACCAAGTCTGCTACCCCTGTCTAATAGTTTTTGCACATTAATATATTAATTTTTATGATTACTTATTCCTCTTTTTCATACGTTTCAGATATTCTTAGTGTACTTTATAGCTGGATTAAAGAAGACCAATCTAGATTGGATAGGAGGATATTCCATGGAAAAATTAGGCCAACATTGGGTGTTTGATGGATTTAGGTACTTATTGTTTAATTTTCTGTATGTGAAATACTTAAAATCGAAAGAAAGTTATTAAAAATAAAAAGTCTCCTTTATATTTTTCTTTTAGTGCCTATGTCAAAACTTCGACAAATTGAAATAAAAATCAACAAAGGGACGTCTGTTTTTATTTCAGATAAACTGAGGAAAATTATGAACTATAGTTACAAAACCAGCTTCAGTTTTTCAACATATTCTTTACTCTCCTATTAAGTTGTTTAAAATATTATTGTGCTTGTTAAAAATTGTGTAAATACAAAATAATCATGTTAATTTGATATGATATTTACATCATTCACAATAGCAGATAGGGAAACGTGTTATGTGCAGTAAATAAAGAAATTTAAAATTTTTCCTTCATTAAATTCCAGATCCAGATTAAATTCCAGTTGAAAATAATATATGAGAAAGACTATTTTCAGGTTCATAGTTATTATTTATATTTGAGTTTAGCTTACTAAACACTTCAGTTGCATACATAATTTAATGAGCATTTCTCTATGCTAAACACGCAGGTCTGTAGTTTACAGCAAAATAACACTGCCATCAGATATACTAAATATTTATAAGGGGCAGTCAAATGAAAAGGAGACATATGGAAAGAAAACAAGTAAACTGTTTACTATTTCAAAAGAAACCGTTATAACTGTTCATGCATTTATCCTACTGTGAGACAAGGTGGTCAATGCCGTGGAAATGCTTCAATTACTCAGGGAAATGCTTTCGGGTTGCCTGTGGAACCATGATTGTACCCAGGGGTGAACCTCTTCGTCCGAAGTAAATCGACACCCCGAATGTCTATCTTCAAGGCACCAAAAATATAGAAATCGCAAGGGAAGAGTTCTGGACTGTATGGAAGATGTGTAAGCGTTTCCCAGCGAATCTTCTGCAGCACAGCCTTAACAATCGTGGCAGCATTTGGGTGGGCATTATGCTGCAACAGAATGATGCCGTCATTCAATATTCCTGTGCGTTTGATCTTGATGGCGCGCTTCAAATTTTGCAAAGTTTCCAAGTGCCACTATGCGTTAATTGTGGTACTGTTCTCCAGAAAGTCAATGTGCAGCAGGCACTTGCAGTCAAAGAAAGAGATCAGTATGACGTTCTCCGAGCTGACGTGCACGGCTTTGGATTTTTTCGGTTGCAGTGAACCCATGTGCTTCCATTGTTGACTCTGACGCTTGCTCTCTGGCTCAAAATGATGGCACTTTGTTTCATCTCCCGCGACAATGCGGAACAAGAAAAAGTATTCTTCATCGCGATGCCATTCCAGGTGCTGCAGTGATGTCGACGTTCTGTTCAACTTTTGCTTCTTTGTCATGCTGTAGAGAACCCACTGCGCAGAGGAACTTCAGATGCCCTGTCAAGATGAAGTGAGTGATACCGTGACTAATACCCAACACGAGCAGAATGTCTTCCACCGTATGCCATCGGTCTTTTCTGACGGCATCATCCACGCAGCAATGACAGTAGAATTAAAGGCACGCTGAGCATGCCCTAGCTGACTGTCTCTCAACGACACCCGAGCTTCTCGATATCGTTTATTTCATTTCAAACATACGCAATATGTGGCGTATTGTATTAGGCATATACAGAGGATATTTGAACAGGTGACAAGTTGAATTTCACTTCCTGACAGTCTATCCGCAGTCAAAAAACGCACTATAGTAGCACACTGTTCATCTTTCCTGGCCTCCATAATGATGGCGGAAGCACACACGACTCTCTGGGCTCACTTCGAGCATGTATAACAGACAAATGACATGCGGTGAGCATTCACGCTCTTCCTTCCCGATTCTCAATAGAAGGCGCTTCTATAGACAAACCTACCTGCGTCACTAATTATAGAGCAAAATGTCTACTTACATAGATGCATATTTCCTATTGCTTTATCCAAGTCCAAGTAATCAAAATTTCAGCGCCTGCTTGATCTTCAAATATTCTCCCTCCATTAAAGTCGGTAAGCGGAAGCAAAGACGGTTTCCACTGATGTAATTAGATTTGTAGTGTTTTATGTTTATTAACCAGTTCAGTTATCTTAATATTTTTTATCTTTCCTATCATTTTTACTTTCTTCAGTTTTGAAAATTACTTGAAGCATAAAAGAACTTGAAGCTAAGAAGAAAGCTTAATAGATATTCTTAAAGTTAAGCGAAAGCTTTTGGCATCGACCTCGAACCGTCTCAGTTTTATTTTATCCCAGCTTCTAAATTTATCTGAATCATCTTTAGCCTTTGCTTGGGGCTCTGAATAAAAGTTGTAAACTTATTTTGTCTAGTGCATCTCACATTTTAATATTTAAACTTTTGTTTTCTGTTAAGCTTTCAAGCAGTGGAGACTATTCTACTCGTATTAAGTTTGTGCACATTGTTACGCCAAAAAACTAATAAAAAGATTTATTTAAAACCTTCTTCTGGATTTGGCGATACTTCACTGGATTATGATTGGGCAATAAGTCACTTGATGCATCTTCAAGTAGCCAAAGTTAACATTTAAAAAGTTATTTTGCATATGCAGTTAAAATTCAATTCGGCGAATCGCATGCACTGGGGATTTGCTCTCAGTCCTTACGATTTGTGAAAATCTAGTGCTTTAATATCTTTATATTGCGTTTAAACTCACTCTTTTTTTTTTTTTTTTTTTTTTTTTTTTTTTTTTTTTTTTGAAATTTTTGGGATATTTTCCTTAGTGCATAGCTTTATCAACCATGCTACACTCAGCTGCTGTTTTTGAGTTTATCTTGAGGACTTAATTTCGAGTATACGCTGACAGAAGTAGATAATGAATTACTTACTAACTATTGATCTAAGCATACACCAAAAACACCAGAAGAGTAATTTTGCAGGTCAGTTTTAATAGACTAACAGATAATTACATGACATAGAATGAGAAACATGAACAGTATGTGATTAGACAGTAGTATAGAGCAGATACAAAATTAGTTAAAAATGTAGACAATTCTATTTACGGTATGAAATATACTAAATTTTACTTTATTAAGTTCAGATATAAATATTTACTTACTATAAAAATCTTTGCACACTTTCACATTTGAAAACTTACTTCAGTGGACTTTAATTAAGCATATCCAATATTTATCTCTGAAAGTTATGAAATTATTGTCACCCGGAATATATTTTAGACTATAACATGCATTTTAAGTAATGTAACTTTAACTTTAGAAAGGAATGAAGAGAACTTTTCTTATAATTCAAATGACATTTTGAATAAACTTGCTTTTCGAAGTCGCAATTTTGCATAGTTTTCCCTAGCTCTCTGTTCTAACACATATATATGTTACCGCAAAGTATGAAACCCCGGCATTCTACATAATGCCGGACGATTTTAGGCAAAGTATAAGATAAGAGCATTATTACATACTTTACCTAGGAATTGTATATTGCTACGAAATGTACAGGCGCGGTAAAATAGCTTCCCCGCAAAGCAGTTTTAGGGTTGCCATAAAATAACAAGGGAAGGCAGGGTTGCCATATTTGGCGAGAAATCGCGCATTTGGCGACGTAAAAAAGATAGTGAGGTGATATTGATACAGCGTAATAAATTTGAATTTTCTATCTGGCTGAGACTGGTAATCGGTAATATCTACTTGACAACGGAAGTTAAATTCAGAAACAATCATAAGTTTAAATCAGTTCCCTTTTTAATACCTTTCTGTTTTTTCTGGCAAGGCTCAAAAAGGTGGTTGTTACAGTTCAATATCATTACGTGTAACGTTTTTGTAATTGATTGAAAGTTCTTTCGACATTCTGTCACGTCGTTCCTGTGCAGTACTCAAATGAGTTTTACGAAATACGGAAAATAATTCAGCGTCTTGTGGCGTAATACTGTATAATTAGTGACGCTTTCTTTATCAGGGTAAAGGAATGCACTTTCGTTTTCTACTAACATCTCATCCTAGCGATACGGCGGCCAGTAGTCACGTGGTTCCTTCTTAGTAGTCATTTTGGCCTTTTTACGTCATTTATTAACTTCTGGTAAGTAGTTCCGGTTCTTCGAAAGGAGTCGGAAATGTATTTTATACTTTGCCGGTTTGTCATTTGGCATTCTATAGAATGCCTAGAAAATGTGTGAAATGTGAATTGACTCGTTTTTTACATTGCCAGCTAGTTTTAGGCATTATATGCAATGTCTAGGCATTCTATAGAATGCCGGATTTCATACTTTCCCGGTAGCATATATATTAAAATTATTCATAAAATGAATGGAAATATTTCTATAAATAGTCTTTAATTTTTGATGCGATTTATTCTTCAAGTATGAATATATATATGAATATTGTCATAAATGATCTTGAAGTAGTTTCTCTGTTCCCTCATGGAGAGGCTTTCATAACGTTGCTTTGTCATAAAGATTCGCGCATCTGAGTACTGGTTGGCCACAGTTCAAAAAGACAAAAGATTTTACCCGACTTTTTTATGAAGATTTCTAATTTTTCGAACTTTAGCCGACCTGTATTAATGTGTTGGTACCTTTATGACAGAACCAAGTATGAAGCCGTTTCCAGAGATGGATCTACATTTTTATACAAATTTTACTTATCTCAAATCTTCATGGTTTCCAGGCTTTTTCTCTCAGACGATCAGATAACATATTTTGTGGTTCATCTTGGAGGCTTTCTATTAGATCTAACGGTGGGATTCTTCATGCTCATGGATTTCAGTAGAGCTTACGCATTTTTGTTTTGTGGACTGTTTAACCTTATGAACTCTCGGATGTTCTCCATTGGTAAGAAAGTGATTCTTCATAATTCATTTTCTAAAAATGTTTCATTGATTTTGCTGTCACGGTTAGTCTCACTTCAGGTTCACATATGGATTTTTACTGGGACCTACCTACATTAACAAGTTACTACTTTGACAACAATTAACTTACGTACAGGTTAAAATCAACAACCTTTCATTTGACTACTCCTCGTGGGTTGCTACTAAAGACAGAATTACGAATTAAAGGGCGATTACTTATTGGCAATAATGTTGCACAATCAGTCGATTTGCCTCGAAAATAGCAAACAACAAAATCAAATTCCTTAAAACAAAACATTTAGTTTTCTGCCCTTAGCTGATCAGTTATAAAAAGTATTTACTACATTTAGCTCACCAACCTAGGATAGCAATGGGAAGCGATCGCAGACCAGTATTACCTTTCGTTACAAAGCAAATAGCTAGATCGCTAGTAGTAATCACCAGAAGACAGACAGACAGAGAAGGAGACAGGTGCCTTATTTTGCACTCGCGAGGTCTTTCTGTCCGCAGGGCGAAAAATTGAGCCTAAGTGTCTAGCTCCAATCAGCAGCTGGAAGAGTTATGGTTCGAATTCTGGCAAAGTAAGTTAAAAATGTCCTGTTTACTGTGCTTTTACTTAGTAAGTAGGTAATATGTTACTTGAATACGGCAAAGAAAGAGAAATATGGATTTATAATAGTGTTTGTAGGGTATTCCAGTGTTATGTTTTAAGATTAATTTGATTTTTGTTGCAAATAAATAATTAGCCTCTTTTCAGATGTTTATATTTTATTAATTCAGAGGTCGTCCGAGGACACCACTACTCCCTCCAACGATTTTATGTGTGCCTGCTGCTGAACAAGCATGATAAAAAAATTATTTAAGTTTTCAGCAAAATTTTACGTAGTAATTAAGTAGAGAAATATACACGTATTTGTTTATAATTTTAAGTGGCTTTGCCAGACGTCACGGTTTGATGGGGATTGTTCCAGTTCGAAGGCATGATTCTGGTGTCCCGACCAGTTTGTCATTTTGATCCAGTTGGATAAAATGTTTTGAAAAATGACAACTTTCAAAGTACAGATGTTGACTTACGAATATCTTGATGATTGCTTACGAACAGGAACATCGTCATACTCTCCTAATTATGAAGCAATGGCCTATGACATGCAAAGCCAAATATCACCTGGACTTTGCGGATTTCAGAATTATAAAGAAGTTTTATACTAACGAACTGTAAAAGAAAGAATTTATAAACGTTTATCTGTAATATTTAGTAATTATTTATTTTGTGTAAGAATATTATCAATAATATCTATACCTTAAAACTATACTTCTGGAATATTTCCCCCTTTGTTGCATATTTTGAATATTATTAATTATGCCAATCTATAAATTTACCTTGAAAGAATAAATGTGCTCGGCACTCTACTGATATTCTAGAATGTACTGTAAAGTACAAAATAATTGAGGATCTCTGAACTAAGGCCATGATAAATATAAATTTCTATTTGAAGTCATACTCCAGTACATAATGAAAAATTGTCGAAAATCATCTAATTATTTTTTACGACTGTCTCAAAGGAGGGCAGAAAACTGTTGTTCCAGTTTTTGAAAATCTCAATACGATACAAAACCCACATTTAAGGCTGCGAATGTTTAAATCTAATAAAGATTTAATTATCGGATTATTTTTAAAAAATCGCCACAAATCGGTAAATTATTTTAGAGTTTCGCAAGAAACCTTCAACTAAAAGATTCTGCCACTATATCCGATGTACAGACTCTGAAGTTCAAGTAAAAATATATACGAAAACCCCACAAAAATTAATTACAACATTAAATTAAAAAAGAAATGAAAAGTAAATTAAAACTATAAAAAGAAACTGAATTTTGAAAAAGACCTTTCAATGGGCTTTCAGCATCTGTACAACATACGTTGGCCGTATATACGAGGCAGTTTTCCTTAGAAAGTCCTCCATGAAGGCATCCTCCCCTTAGGCGGATAACCCTCGAGGCTATGCCGTAATCACTTAACCAACCAACATGCAAGGCAAATTTCGTAGGCCAGTGAGCTTTTTCCGCTATGCAACAAATTCCCAGATTCTTAATTTCTTGGTAAAGCTTAGAAGCGTTACTGCGTTATTTAAAAATTCTAAAAATTAAAGAACAGAAAAATTTTAAAAATTCTAAGGCAGCAGGCATTATTTTAAGATAGTAAGCACTAAATGTAACTAATGAAATCATTTCTCATTTGTTTTCTATCGGTGAAGATTTAAATGTAGATAATTTGTGGTGGATTCAGTAGATAATAATGTGTAAATAAAGAAAACAAAACAAAATAATAGTAGTGTAAGGATCTTAAGTTTTACTAACGTTTATTTTATTTTAAATCTTTACTATCACTTCTTATTTTCTACTTCCGGCCAGAATTAAAAGCTTTAACTTATTTATGCAAATTTGTCTTGCGAACGCCAAGTACTTAAGTTGTGGCTTTTTTGCCAAGCAAGAGAGAGGAAGGAGTGATTAGGAGCAGGCCGCTTGCCATAGCAGTTTTACTCGGTTGCTGGTTGCCTTCAAGGCCAAAAGTTTAATCCTCTTGATAATTTTAAACGTATCGTAGTGTTAACAGTTCTCTGTACTACATATGGCCTTTCTGTTAATATACGGCCAATCTTCAAGTAGGCACTTGTTTATTAATCCAAAGTTAGTTTAGTTAGAGTTTAGTTAATATTTTTATATTCTTACGTTCAGACTACAAGTGGTTGGTCTCTGTATTCCGAAGTCCGGAAATCATTGTAAAGAGAGAAAAATAAAGAGTTTCGTATACCCTTCTTGTGTGTATTGTCTACTTCCCACATTTATTGAACATAGCTTTAGTAAGCTCCCTGTTCCGAGTCAGGTCATTTAATGTTCCCAAAGCAAGTAAGGAGGAACATAGAACCTGATAGTAGAAGTTAAAATATTTATAAAAAAAGTTTCTAAATATCAAACTTCAGAGTTCTTAATGGTGTGTTAATTCCCCTTTCTGTAAAATTCTTCCTTTCTGTTGATTCTAAAATACTATGAAGTTGTATTTATTTAATTGCTCCATCAGAATGAAATAATTTGTTTCAATTGTGTTAAGTGTTCTCTGATGTTCTGTAAGTGTGCATATTATTTTCCCCAGGTATGTTTCCCTACGTCATGATTGCTGTTATGCCCATATTTTGTTCTGCTGATTGGCCCAAAAAATGTTTTTCGCTATTTCCGAAACTACGTGACGCCATAATGTATACCGAACCAACTGGAAAAAATCCAGCATGTATATATGAGGAAAGAGAAGATTGTCAAGAAGAAGTAACTGACAAAAAAGAAGATAATCAAGAAGAAGTAACTGACAAAAAAGAAGATTATCAAGAAGTAACTGACAAAAAAGAAGATTATCAAGAAGAAGTAACTGACAAAAAAGAAAACTACCACAAAGAGGTAACTAACAAAAAAAAAAAAGTTTTTTAAATAATTTTTGTTTCTGTTTAACATCATATGAGTGTTCGTCTTTATGATTTTAAACCCAGCCATTTGTTTTAACAAATAATTACCCGCATTTTATTCAATAGAAATATGTATTTCAGCAATAAAATTATTATTTCATTTTATGTCGTACAAATTTTAAAAGAATTAAATAAAGTTTTAAAATAATTAAATAAATTTGAAGTTATTTAACAGTAATTTGAAGTAATTTTCCTCACATATTTTATTTGGAAAGAAAAATTTCGTAACATTATGCATTAGAAACCTCATCTTTCATGAAAGTAAATTCTTAAAAAAAAGTATATGGAATTTTGAAATACTGTATTTTCCCCGTAATAAGATTTTTTTAAATGTCTTCCTGAAAATCAATCTCTTCTTAAATGTGTAACTTAGCATTTTAAAATTACTTTGATTTATTACATGTACATTTATTCTAACAAAGTATTGCATTCATATAGCTGCACTTCGAGATCGTGCACATTTAGTTATTTTTCTGGTAGAACACTTCAATGTATCATACGCACAAATGAAAAGTCGTCTTTAATGATATCTTTTTTTTTTTTTTTTTTTAATTTGTAAATCACTTTAAAAAATAGAAAGATTTCTAGTGAATTTTTAGAAAGCTAAGTAAGCCCTTCGGATTTCTCAAAAAGACAACTACAAAACTTTCTCGATAGCAAATCCTTTAATTCGTATTCTTAAGTCAAGGTATCTGTTATCAGAAAAGGTTTTATATTGCTCATTTGGCAGAGACATAGACTAAGAGAATGAATATAATATGCAGGGACAAAATAAAGCGAAAGTAAAAGTTCGGGCAAATTTGTGTCGTACTATTTATGCCATGAATGTCCCTCTTGTTGAAATCTTTAATACGGTGTATGATAATCGAGTACACTTGCACATGCTATTGGAAGAGTTAAAGCAACAAGAACTAGTGTAATATTCATAAATTTGCATGATTAGTTCCAAAGGTTTAAATATAGAAGCTGCTTCTTCAGTTGCAGATATGTAAATGACGAAGCTGTTGCTACTGACAGAGGTTCTACACCTAACATTAATCATCAAGCGCTTAAAAGATTCTCATCTCAACACATCATGTTTTAGGACATTATATGAATTCTGTTGTAATTCCTTTCGTTCCATCGATTAGCTATAAAAGTGCACATATTTTACGGAGCTTCAGCTATCGGATCCTTTATTCTTCTGTCAATAAAATTTGCAGTTCTATACTTAAGGTTCCGGATATGAATTTCTGAGGTATATACAAGATTCTTTACTAATGTGGTTTAATTTACATTGGTCAAAAGAGAGCCTTAAAATTTTGTTCTAAGAACCATGATGCATATGTTACAGAATTTAAAATGCAATAATCCTCTGTTGCTCAATACTGTTGGTCAGAAAATCTTATTTTCTATTTTCCTCAAGCCAAAAGTTTAAAAAAAATATCTTATGTTGATGTATTAGATTTCCTAAAGATGTTTCGTATTCATAAAAATCTTTCAATTCTAATTAATAGTCTAAATTCCAATCCGAATTTACCCTTAGCTTTTAAGGAAATTATTTCGTAGTTGTTTTCATTTTTCATCAATAGATGCTGCCAACTGCCTGATGTCCTTCGTCTAACGAAAATGAAGACAGTCCGCGAGCACTATCTTCTTTTTCGTTATGTATTATGTACACTTACGTCATTTGTAACTGAAATTTTCTGTATTTAAACATTCGAAACTAGCCCTGCAAATTTATGAATATTACGATGATTCTCATTGCTTCAACTCCTCAAATAATCGTTACTCGGCTTGTTATTTCAACCCAAACTTACACAGGTTATTGAGAAGGCTCGCCTGCAGCTTTATGTTGTTGATAAGGCTCCTTGGAATAAATAATATCATTCTCGAAAAAGGAACTTTTATGAGCTCTTCAGAACTGTAGCGGGGAGATTGTAATTTTTGAAGTGCACAACTAAATATTAACAGCTTGTTGCTAAATCTAAGGGCTGACTTTAAGAAGCTACATCTAATGCTTTCAAGTTATTTAATCTAATATTGCTTAATTAAGAATACAGATTAAACACTCAAAAGTAAAAATCTAACACGGAATCTTATTAGCCTACTTGTGACAATACAACTACACAGGCTGTTTGCCCATTTAGGGGCTGTTCAATAAATGTTTAAAATGTAAAGAGAATTTGTAAAATGTTTGCTCTGTTGCCAGAAAGCTGTTTCCAGAAATGTTTACTAAAGAACACTTGCGTTTATTAATTCTTCATCGAAATCGTTCCAACAAATGTGAAAACACACATTTGTTGTAACAAAATAAATGATGTAAGTAATAAATAAATAAATAGTAAAGTAATAATTAAAATAGTAACAAAATAAATGATGCGACTTCTCATCGACTGTCAACTACAGTGATTTACCACTAAACTTCAGTTTTGACACCAGTTACACAAAACTTCTTCAGAATTACAACAACTTTTAGAATGGATGAAAAACCAGCTAACGTCATACTTTCTAACATTTACCGAGATCGTTTAACCTTCGGCTATTATAACCTGTTTACTGGCAAATCGCTTCCCTTTCAGGAAGGCGATAGATCAATAAAGTGAATTCCACTGAACTGCAGGGATAAGATTATATCACAATTTTAACCATATCATACCACTTACCATATAGTTTTGGTATAGTACTCTGGTCTGAACGATAATGTGAGAGTCAAGGCATATATATATATATACAAAAATCACTAAACAAACGTATACAAAAATCGTTCTCGAGTTCTCCTATATATTGGAGAACAATTAACATAAAGATAACATATTAACTCTTAATAAAACTTAAATCATAAATGTTATAAGATTGTGTGTTAAAATTGTTTTGGCAAAGACATCTCATGAATATTCAAGGCTGTTTAGTTCCGATATGTGAGCTGGGTAGTTTAAATGCATTTATACGATTGGATTCCAAGTGAAGCTACGAGTAAACCAAACTAGATCTATGAAGCCACCCATTAAATGAAACACATGACCAAACTGGCCCCTTAAACGCTTCAGTATTGATGCAGTATAATGCCCTTTTAAACTTAAATTATTTTACAATAATATGGCTGTTCAACAAATCCATCGGTCTACGTAACCCTAATGGTAGATATTTGTATATCCCTAAATATCCATTCCGAAGTTTCTTTTGGGCGGACTATAACGCATTCTAGGGCTCACTAAATTTACACGCTAAAGAATAATCCTCTAGGGTGAAAATAACGGAGCTCCATGCATATAAGTCCCTCTCACATGTTTTGATGTATGTCATCGGGCGTTTATGGATATTAGTCCCGATGACCCCATTATGGTTATTAGTCCCGAAGTGTAACTGCTATACGAGGAAACTTTGACCATATTATGCTCGAATATCTTCGTTACTGTGGAACTGTCTCCAAGGCATACATACATATGACGTCTATAGGAATATTATTTTCTTGAGGCACTTATAACTGTGCATGGCCCGCGTCTATGCTCTTGATGTTCTTACTACCTATAATATCATCAATATGAATAGTTTGTGTCAAGTTGATTGCTTAAGTCTTTTAATGTGAAAAGTCAATCCAAAAAATTTGAATCGAAGAAAAAGGAATTCCTTTATGAACAATTATCAGATTGTTAATAAAAATAATTTCTTTCGAAGCAATAAGCCTCTTTTATTTATTTTCAAGGTCTCAAAAAGCTGTACCTTTTTTTATTTCAATACAACAGTGGCAAAAATGCTCTCTGAGGTTATCTTTAACTTAGGAAAATCATATAGTTTAGAAGCATCTTTAAGATATATATTTGTAAACTGAGCAATGGCTTGCGATACATCTCGTGATTAAAATTTTCTTAATATTTTTCAGGACATTTGATGGCATTTATATACTTTCTGAAATGATAAGTCCAACACTATTGCTTGTCAACCCTTAAATGAGTAAATTCATACAATACTGAGAATTTTGTCCAGAGCTCGAATTGTAAGAACCTATTGAGCGGGATGAATTTTTCTGCGATTTATGTCTTCTAAATATGATCTAACTAGTTAGGTAAGGTTGCGTAACTCGTATCACAGCTTAAGTCTTACTTTTTAAATATTGGTGTAATATCGGCACCAACTGCGCCTCTTACGGCAGAATGTCAACCATATTGTTTCACATCGTCTTCGTCTCCCTGTAATATGAGGCAGACGCGAACAGAATATGATTCAGTTCCTAAAATGTAAGGGATGGGTGCACGCGTGCTGGAGTGGACAAGAAAATATAAAAGCTTTGTGATCATTGCTGTAATTAATTGTATACATAATTTAATTGAGAAATATAAGGTTTTATTGTAATTGTCTAAGTTTAAACTTAATACGACCAAAGCTGTAGGCGGTACGTCTTAGATTACTGGTTGTCTTAGTAGTATTAAGTACGTGTTCTAAAATTTTATTCATTTTATCCAAGAGAGTGGATTTGTTGTAACAAATATCAGCAACGACAACACAAGATATTATTATCATACATAACGTTTATTTTTTGGATTTATATTTTTTCCTTGGGGGGTACTATTGACGCAACTCTAAAATCAGTGTATTAAGTAACAGCCTGCAGAGTATCGCCATTTTTTTATATAAAAGTATATTTAATTTCATGCATTTAAAAGTAAAATTGAATATTTAATTTAATAAGATTTTATTTTAATAGTAATTTTTAGTCACTCGTTTTTATTTAGGTCTCGCCATCTAAGACCAAAAAGTCGGCAAATAATGCGACTTTTTCCCACAAGATGACAGCATTATTATTCTGCTTCTACTTCGCTCTTCAAGGTTTTTTGCCTTATTCTCATTGGCTGACGAAAGGATATAATACATGGACGCAAGGACTTTATGGATATTCATGGGACATGATGGTTCACAACTGGAAATACATCCACACCACCCTCACGATTGTTGACAAGAAAACAGGACGCCATTTACACTTAGACCCCGAGGTAATTTAGATGCTTAAAAAGATATCAAAACAAGAAAAAATATATTTCTGAGATTTTTAAAAAATATTTCTGAAGGTAGTTTATTATTTGAAATGGTCATAAATCGAAATTATGTTTGTCATAAAAATTAATATAAAATGAATTGTTCCGTTCATGGACCGCAAATGATTGTTTATTTAAATTTTGCAATGATGTGCAGAAAGAAATCAATAGAAAATTTTTAAGCGATTTTGATTTGAGATGCATGATATATAATTTTAAAATACTTAGTGTCAAAACCCTCTAAATCTTTGTCTGCAACAAAATCTAACCATAACTTCTTCCAGATCGAATTCATGCTCTTGTAAGGCACTTGCTGCTAAATGCTTTTAATGAGGAATAGGTAACAAAATATGTTTCCGAAAGTTATTAATTTTATGTCAGTAATTACCTCGAAACATTTTTAAAAATCATTTGTTGCCAACTTGTGTGTTCGTTATTCGAAACACTATTCGTTATCATTTATGTTATTCTTTAAAAAATTTATTCGTGATGACTAATATTGGTGACCCAAGTTTTTTGCTGTATTTTCTAAGATATCATAGATTTACTTATGAAAATCAATCAAAATCCACAGGAGAAAGAAAAAAATAGTATGAAAAAAATAAATTTATGCTATTTAAGATTTGTCAAGAAATGGCGTGCCATACCTAACGCCAGCTCTTACTTATCGCAGACTCTGTGAGCTCTAGTTTAGAGAATCCTGAACTGCTTTCAAACTAGTATCTGGCTGAGATTTTCAGAACTTTGGCATAGACGAACAGCATTCAAATTTCTCAAAACTTGAGTATGTTTCCATCTGTCATAGCAAGAGGTAACTGCTATCAACTAGGTGCAGTACGAGGTCAGTCAGAAAAGTATCATATCTTGAATTTTCTCACCGAAAGTAGTGATGTTAGAGTGGCGCCACTGTGCGCAATGGAACATGATCGAATATTTCTGAACGTTCGAATGTGACAGTCGCTATCTACTTGCACCTAAGTCAAATTTTGTTATACGTGCTCGTTGGCTTCTTGATTTTTCTCAAGATGACAGAATGAGTTTAGCAAAGATACTACATCAAATTTTGTCAAAAGCTTAATGATTCTCAAAACGAAACAATTTATGAGATTCATGAGATGTTTGGAGACGATGCTATTGGATAACACAAATCAAGGAGTTCAACCGATTCAAAAATAGCCGCACATCAGTGGAAAGTGACCTGTGTTTTAAAGGGACACAAACTGCTCGGAATGCAGCTGTTGTTGAGAAGGTGAAAATTTTGGTAAAGAGAGATCATCATTCGACCGTGTGAGAGATTTCCGAAGAAGGTGGGATTAGTAAAGATTCCGGACATGCAATTTTATGAGCTGATTTGAACATGTGCAGAGTGGCTGTGAAATTTGTGCCCAAGCTACTATCTGCGGAAAAGAAAGAACTCCGTCTTGAGGTTGCACAGGACCTACTGGTACTACTAGTACTAATCCTGAACACAGTGATAACTGGATATGAGTCATGGGTGTACGGTTACGACCCGGATACAAAAGCACAGCCGTCACACTGGAAGCATCTCGAGTCCCCAAGGCCGAAAAAAGCATGACAAGTGCAGAGCAAAATGAAGGTGATGGTAATGGTGTTGTTTGATATACATGGAGTTGTGCGTCATGAATAAGCACCGGTAGGATAAACAGCAGTAGCAATAAATTTTTTTGACTTTTTCCGTGAACCAGTTCGACTTTTTTTTTACTATGAAATAACTGATATGTTGAGGATTTTTATAAACATTTATGTTTATAAAAATGTCCAGACCTCTGAACGGCGAAAACCTGACAGTTGCATCATGGCAATACTCCAGCCCACACATCACACTTTATCCAAACTTTCTTAGCGAAGCGTGCAATTCTAACCTTTCGCCAGCCTTCCTATTCTTCGTACATGGCTACTTGCGAATTCTGGTTGATTCCGAAATTGAAGACTGTATTGAAAGGATCCCGTTTTGAGAGAAAAGAAGAGATAATGCACCCATTGCAAAAGAGACTTTCCAGAAGTGAAAATGTTGGGCTAAAAGAATGGTCTCAGGTCAACTTAAAAGCCAGTTGTTAAATCGACGACTTTCTTCCACCTGTTGCATTAACAATAATCTCACAATTGTCGGAAGCCACCTTTCAATTAGATAACGTCTTCCGCACGATTGGCAGATTCTCTGAGGAAGGTCTGCGTGGCGTTTCAACTCTTTCTTGCTCTCCCATATATCCAGATTTTTCTTTAATCGAACACATATGAGACATGTTAGGTGACAATTATAAAAAATTTGCACAGAAATTTCCGCTGTGTATCATTTTACAAATATCGAATGTTGTGTCCATGGTAGACCGAATATCTTCATGCAGGCTGACTTAGAGACAAATATATATCGTACTAATATGTCTGTAGTTCTGGATACATGCTTGGTCAAAATACTGATTTTTACATAATTAGTCTCAACCACATCTTTATTTTCCTTTTTTTTTCTTTCTGAAAACTTTGAACTTTTTTTTTACTATGAAATAACTGATATGTTGAGGATTTTTATAAACATTTATACCATTTGAGTAACTAATAAAAGCTTAAGCATATATTCTTAGAATAATCCTTTGCTCGTTCTTTTGCAATGAATGCGATACGGCTTTAATGGAGATTTTGCAACAGGAGAAATAAAACATGAATGCCAACAGAACTAAAACATGACAGTTCTAACATCAAAGTAAAAGAGTGTGACTTTTAATACTTAATAATACTTAATCATTTAATAGTGTGACTTTAGAGTGTGACTTTAGTGATAATTTAGGTATGACAGCCTAATTCTAACGAAACAGGAAAAAATATCTTTTTTTTTTATAATTTATTTTTAATAATAGCTCTGCTTGAGCAATTTGTAATGCATTTAATTCTAATTTTTTTCTCATAATTAAAATTTTATAATTATTAAACAAACTCTCAGACTTTACAAACTCTCAAACTTTACAAACTCTTAGAATTTTTTTTTACAACTTTTGAAGAATATTTCCTTATTATAATACTTGTATATCGCTCTGAATATTTCACTGTCATGCAATTATATTTTTTATTAAGATACATTGTAGCATAATAAAAATCAGAAAATTACTTTATTTTCTTTCCAACATAATTTTAGTAGTCGCCTCATAAAATAGCTTGTTTGTGATAACCCACTTTATCGTTTTTGACGAGCTGGAGATAAAAAGAGAAACAAGACTCATTATGGAAAGGGGATAAAAAATGGAAACAATTTTTATCAATTTTTTTGCAGTAATTCGATCGAATGTTTTTTATTCCAGGTTTGGACTAGAAGCCACAGATGGACTCATCATGCGGACATGGTGAAACAGTTTGCTGTTTGCGTGCAGGACAAGATGGTAGAAAAATATGGTTTGAAGGACATTGAGTTATACATAGATGTATGGATATCGCTGAACCGCCGTTTTTCTCAGAGGTAATTTGTGAAATATGAATGCAAACTGAAAGGTAATGCGAATATGTCAGCACTTTATCACCATTTTATTTCTTAATTTTTTTGCGAAGCTAATGTTTCAAAACATTTTGAGGAATATTAAATGAAATCAGTGACAGACTTTCAGCAATCTGAATACAGCATTTGTTTTATTGGTTGATGTTTCAATATGTGTATGTATGTATGTTTAGATGTACTTTTTTCGTGTATCTAATAATATGAACGTTTGTATGTACAATGGGCAATACAAAAAGGGGGGCAATTCTAATCTCCCGTTCTAATGGGCCGATTGACAAAATTCAAACTGCGTTTCTATTAACATCAGAACGTTTTACTAAATTGATATTTCATTTTACTCGTATTTTTAATTGTATGTAAATTTATATTTTTACTTCTTCAAACATTTTACTAAACTATTTCATTACTATTTCATTTTATTTTTAACTGTACATAAATTTATATATTTTCCTCTTCAAACGTTTTACAAAACTGATATTTCATTTTATTTTTAACTATATATAAATTTATATTTTTCTTTTCAACTTGCATACCTCTCGTGAATTATCAGAAAGCATAAAAGGAGATTTAAATGTTGGTGAATTTTTGTTGTAAATATAATAATATAATAATGTAAATATAGTTTGCTGTTCTTTTCTGAATGAGTGAAAATTTTAGTAACTTAATAGCCTTAGGAAGCAGGGCATACTATAAGAATTTAGATTCATAATTTTTCACAAAACTCCGTTTTTAAATTTTAAAATGTGAAACAGGGAAATTTGTTTCATTTAAAATATTTTTGTAATCTGACTTTGTTCATTTAAAATAATCTATAATCTTAATAATTTTGTAATCTGATTTTGTTTATTTAAAATATTTTTTAAATTTTTTGTAATGTCTACATCAAAAGTTGCGAAAATAAAAGCCTATAATTTATGGACATGCCGTCGTGCATCCACACATACAAATAGCTGAAGAGATGAATGGATGAACTTAGTTATTGAACACTTGCATGGATTGCACTATTTACTGATTTACTGATTTTTATTCGAGAATTTTTCTTCCAGATTTTAAATATTTGTCAATTTTTTTCATTTATTAAAAGATTTTTCTATTACATATTTAGTTACATTTAAATGTATCGTAAGACAATTTTATAAAAAAAAATTAATCCAGTGTATGCAATGTGAAGTAATTGTGCTTGCAATATTTATTAAATTTTATGAATTAGACCAATATTGTATCCATAACTGTACTCCTGCCAAAATTATAAGATTATGCAAATGAATCGAAATCATGTTCAACGCGAGCTGGTGAAGATTTTGTTTTAAAATCTTTTAAATACTGCTTATCAGCAAAAGATTTTTTGTTTTACTGTACATCACAAACTATATATCGATAAATTTTAAACTGCAATTAATAGTCGTATATTAATAAAAAATATTTTAGCAAATAAACTTCGGATAACTATATAAGAAAAGTCAATTCTATAAATAAATAGAAAGTAAAAATGCATAAACACTATTATTATCCCCTTTTTTTTTAAATTCAATTCTGGCGTTTCTTCTCATTATGCCCGAGTTTATGATAGAAAGAGATAACTGACATTTAAAAGTCGCTCAATCATACGGTGACTTAGAACTACGAAATGTGTATGTAAAGAAGAAATTTAGGATCAACTTGATCAAATTATTGTTAATTAATATCATTTAAAAGCCTAAATTTAAAAATTATATAAGTTTGTATAAACAGCATTTATTTGGAAGTTTCTTTCGTTTTTATTGATTTTCTTAAATAGATATAAGTTAAACTAGTGTCTGGAGTATGTACTGAAATACAGGGAAGATTAAAAAAAAAACATTTAAATTTATATAAAAATTCAACTTTGTTTTCATCATCAGACATTTCCTTTTCACTCCAAAATATTGTGACAATATAAATGTTTTCCAAAACTGTGACAAATGTATTGGCTGTTAACATCAATCGTACAAAAGGTTTTAAAAATCGTAGCAGTCGGCGCCGATCTTAGACCGTCGGCCGCCCATGGGCAAATTAAAACTGGTCACCCTTTTTTACAGAAATATAATGTTCGATAATCATTTCTCTGCCCTTAAATTTGGCCGCCCACGTGCTGTGCACCATCTTGATGCCCTCTAGGATCGGCCCTGGCAGCAGTTTATTTAGTTAGTTTAACCTGGTAACGAAATTGGCATAATTGTTTTTCAAAGATCTGACTTGCAATAAAAGTAAAATGTAAAGTTAATAACCGCAGTAAAAATGTTTTACCAATCAATAATTTATTTTCTTTGCATTAACGAAAGGATGTACGATCCGACAGTGGATTTAATTTCTGCAAAATGGTCTCCATTTGAGGAAGTAGCATGGGTCCTTCCTCTCCAAACGGAGCTGACAGACTGGAGACAGTATCTTGTAGATATGGAAGAAAAATTATTCAACCAATCGGAAAACATAGATGTTCTTTTTGTCACGGACTTTCCTGGTACGTTTAAAAACTTTTTCGAAAACCTATCAAATAATTATGAGCATACAAAATGTTCATTAAAACGCGTTTTCTTTATTTCAGTGCGAGGTTTAGGTAGGTATAAGGTCTTCCAAATGTACTCAGCTTAAAATGTTTGTATGTTTGTCTTTTCAAGTATCCACTTAAAGAATAATTGTTAGCTGCTATATTCTAAGTTGATGTAAACGTAAGACTGTTTAGACAACTACTTAATTATTATTTACATAGAGAACAACAGTATAAAAATGAATAAGTAATAAAATAAAAACTAGTTAACATAAAATTCTATCAACCTATGGTCCCAAACAAAATTTCTCGCAGGCCTCACGCACGATCTGAAAGAATCTGATAGAATGTTTTTCAACAAAATTAAAAACATTTTATCAATAGTGTTTTTTTATTTTAAATAAATTTTTTTGTTGTTTGAACATATCTCACTTGACCGAGAGAATAAGCTCACGAAATTATTCGCGGCAAAGAATACAAGACTGAGCCTGTTATTGGCAAGACACTTGAGCACAATACAGGTAACAATACGACTTTGCTCAGTTCCACCCTCAATTTTGATGGAGAGCACCCCAAGCGGGACGGATCCGAGGGTCTCCCACCCTTCTTCCCTGCAACCTACCTTTCAAGAAGACTTTCGGCTCGCCGCATATTTAGAGTGCTCCCATGTCGCACAGACACTATGGATTTACAAATATCAAAGCGTTGTCCGGAATTCGTGACGGATTCCTTCGACGGTAGTCACTATCCCGGTTGGGCGGCAAGTAAATTTAAAATTTCGCTTACTAAGTGTTTTTTAAATAATTCATAAAAACTAATAATAATATCGTAAAGGAAAAAAATCAAACTTATTTTTATTTTCTATCTGAAATTTAAAATTTGGTACCTGCGAGACCACGCTCTCCTTTTTTGGTTACACTCTGCAGTTCAAATATACTCAGAGATAATATTAAATTTCAGGCTGTCGTTTATTTAAAATAGTTTTAACATGTTTAATTAATCATAAAATATTTAACTTTAATTTAAATTCAAAGATATTGTTGCGTGCGTACGGGTTCGTTATGAAATGAATGCACAAGTCCGATGAAAAATGAACAAAAATTTATTATTATCACAACAAAAATGCTTAAATTTTCTCAAATTATCATGCAGTATTACAATATGTCACAGTAGTTATCTTTTAACTGCTCAAATGTACAATAGAACGTAATTCAAAACAGCTAAAGAATGCTAATCCGCGAATTCGCTATAATCAACAACAGCAGTTTTCTAAACAACAACAAACTAAGCAACTACTACAAACTGAGATGTTTCCTCCTTTTATAAGATTTTAAAAACACGCGCTAGAATTTTCCAGTACTTTCTCGAAATCAAAAAGAGATATTATTTATTTAATGCACGCGCTCTTGTATTTTCAATTTCGGCTTAGCTTTCGTTTAATATTCGTCACGCGCTGCACTGCGCGAGAAATAAAACCATTTAATTTATAATTGAACTAACATTAGCTTTTTAAATACCAAATTCGTAACATAGCCCCCTTCCCAGGACTGCACGTCCGGGCAGTACAATCCCTGGACAGGAAGCTAAACTTACAACTAAGGCATAAAACGCAATAATAAACATTACATTACAATAACAAACAACATGAACAATAAATGCAATACAGTAAAACAAATCAAATGCTATCAAATACAAATCAAATACACATTTAGAAAACAAAAAGGATCAATGGTCTGATACTATTTACCATTATATACACTTACGTACTATGGCCATAGTAAGGTAAGCTAACCTTGTCGTAATGAACGAATATAGGTTTAGAGTTCGATGACTTACGTATCTGAACCACGACGTCGTTCAGCCTGTTTAGGACTGTATGGACCATCCCAATGTGATCATAATTTCGGACAGAGTCCTTTCCGTCGAGTCGGATTCTACAACTACACCTTGTCTCCTGCATTGAATTGATGTCCAGTAGCTCTCGTGTCATATCGGAGCTTCATCTTCTCCATCGCCAAGCTGACTCGCGCTCGTGCAAAGTTGTGCATCACTTCAAACAGGGCCTGGAGATTTTGAATGTATTCTTCAGGCGATCAAGGTGCATCCCGAGGACGACCAAACAAAAGATCACAAGGCAGACGAAGGTCACGACTGAAGAGCATCTGAGATGGAGAATAGCCGATAGTCTTGCGTTTCTCTTCGACCCTAGTATTCCCTATTTAGGCAGCTTTCCCGAGCAGGGTTTTTCACACAAGGAGTCGGTGAGGTTTCCAGGTGAGGATCCCTTTTGATGATGGGTAATTATGTCCTCTGATGCTGAAAGCAGTTTGTTGTTTTGAAGTCCAACGAAAAATTGTATTTCCTTAAAAAATCCAATCCGAGTACCCAAGGATCTGTAATCTCTGACACGTATGCGGTGTGATGTTAGGCGGCATTTTAAAATGTGATGTTCGCATTTAACTTCCCAGTTATGTCGATCTCAAAACCAGACGCAGTCTGGAGGGTAACACAGGATGGCGTCCAAATGAGTTTATCTTTAAACTTTAGAGCTAAATCTTTCCGAATGATGGTAACATTAGCTCCTGTGTCAATGATCATATTGCAAGGAACTCCATCGATATTCCCATTGATGGACAGTCCATTATTGTTGCCACTCACTATAGAGATCTTAAGCGCTTTAAAACAGGGTTTTTCATTATCTGGCAACCTCCGTTCCTTGATATGGTCATTAATTTGTTTACTGCGTCGTTGCTGGGAAATGGTCTTATTTTCCGTACCTCGAGGTGTTCTGCAGTTTCTTCGTATGTGGCCTTCCACTCCGCAGTTCCAGCACTTTAGAATTAGTTTCTTTTCACTTCTGTTCCGTCTCAAGCCACTGACTTGTCTGGTAAAATCATCTGCTTTATATTCCGTACCCTGGGGTGTTCTGCAATTCCGTCTTATGTGTCCTTCAGCACCGCAGTTCCAGCACTTAACGGTCGGTTTCTTGTCACCAATATTCCGTCTCAAGGCGTTCAGTTGTCTAGTTAAATCGTCTAGACGAGCAATGACTTGATTCCCATGGCTTCCCGGACTTGAGCAGCTCTGACTGGGTGGCGGTCTTGACGAGTGGCTTGTTGGGCTGCCTCAGAATTTCATGGCGTACACTAGAGCGCTTTTAAGATCTTTTAACATCCGCCATTCGTAGAGCTTTCTGTACTTCAGTATCTCGGATGCCGTCGATGAAATATTGCAAGTTACAGGATTTCCCTTGTTTCTGTCGGGCAACTCCGAAAATTCGAGATGGGACAGCCTTTCAACATCTGCGGCGAGTCTCCTGAAGTGTTTCGGTAGGCTTTTCTGTTGGCGAGGATTTTAATTGGAGCCTGCTGTAATCTTTCAAACACTTTCTCGCCCAAAGCGCAAGCTCCCAAAGCGCCGGATAGAGCTTCGAAAATCTAGCCTTTTGATTTTCAGGAAGAATCGTCTGCAAGGATATCCGCTGCGTCTGCTCTCAGAAGAAGCGGCGGCGAGATGACAGGCTCTTAGCTTGGAATTCCCATCCATTCGCATCCGCAACGATAGAAAATTGTGTCCTTATACACCTGCCAGGAAGGTCTTCCCATCATATGTAAATAGTTTCTGCAGAACGGAACGAGCAGGCATCGATAAAAAAATTTGAAAACCTTCAGAATTGCTTCCTTCTGCCGTCGCTATTCATTTCTTTAAAGATATCAACTTCTTTGGCGACGGCAGCAGAAACCCTATCATCAATTTGTTGTTCGACGGCAGAAACTCTCTTCTATATGTTCTTTTACAGAAGAAATTCTCTCTTCTACTTGTTCTTTTACCGAAGAGACTCTTTCTTCTATTTGTCCAACTTTAGTTTCAACCGCGTCTATTCTGCCTTCCATAGCCTCAAATTCATTTTCTATTACGCAGGTAATTTCTTTTTTCATTTCGTCCTGACCTGCTTTGATCTCATCTTTAAGGGATTTCATCTGTTCCTTAACGGATTCCTGGCCCAATTTAATTTCTTCCTTAAATGCAGCAAAGGCTGATATCAACTGTCTTAACTGCTCTTCCATCGCTCTTGTGATTGGCATTCAAATCCCACTCCTGACACCAAAAATTGTTGCGTGCGTACGGGTTCGTTATGAAATGAATGCACAAGTCCGATGAAAAATGAACAAAAATTTATTATTATCACAACAAAAATGCTTAAATTTTCGCAAATTATCATGCAGTATTACAATATGTCACAGTAGTTATCTTTTAACTACTCAAATGTACAATAGAACGTAATTCAAAACAGCTAAAGAATGCTAATCCGCGAATTCGCTATAATCAACAACAGCAGTTTTCTAAACAACAACAAACTAAGCAACTACTACAAACTGAGATGTTTTCCTCCTTTTATAAGATTTTAAAATCACGCGCTAGAATTTTCCAGTACTTTCTCGAAATCAAAAAGAGATATTTATTTATTTAATGCACGCGCTCTTGTATTTTCAATTTTCCGGCTTAGCTTTCTTTTAATATTCGTCACGCGCTGCACTGCGCGAGAAATAAAACCATTTAATTTATAATTGAACTAACATTAGCTTTTTAAATACCAAATTCCTAACAATATTATGAAAACTCTTTTCAGACAAAATTTTCATGTAGGGCAAAAGAATAAATAATGACGATTTAGTCTCTTTATTCTTATGTGTTAATTTTTTCTTCTATGCATAAATAAAAATACATATGTTTGCATGTAAATAATTATTTATTTCGGTTTGCAGCTTGACAATTGATGGCGTTTTGATTCTGATAAAGCTTGTAGCCTATGTGGAAAATTACTAGAAATTATCTTCAACACGGAATGTAAATACTCATCAGTAAAGCGGTTTTTTTTTTCTTATTAATTTCAACTGTGAATAAACGTTGTGGACATATGAACGTACTCGCGGTCGAAGAGATTATTCTTAGGGCAAAAATTCGTAACTGATTTACTTTTTCACAAGTACGAATAACATAAAAGTTAATAAAATTTGTATATGTAAATTATTTATAATGTAAGATAAACCTAATTCAGAGTTTTAGAGAAACATGTAAATTAGATTTATATTATATTATACATTAGTTAGCTCCATTTATAGACGTTTCTGGTGCGTTAAAGTTAGTTTTTAATGGTAATGAACATGTAAGATTCTGTACTGTGTACTTGAATGTGAAAAATCTTAAGAACTGATAAGCGAATAATCCCTTGATTTCGTGGTACAGGAAACAACAAGATATAAGGGTGAAATGACCCTTTATTATTCCAATAAGGTGTAACAGAACTCCGTCTTGGAGTTGTACAATAAAGCCGACCGACTGGCTTAAACTATAGAAACTAAGAACTAAACTAAATTAATCTTAACTAAAAGAATATAGCCGAAGCTATCAAACTTCTAACCGAGTTGGCCCCTTAACACGGATTGACTGCGAAGCTATCAAGGCCATAAAGTACGGCCGAGTTTAATAATATCTTAAGAGAGAGTAGCCTAAAAAGGCGGACGCGTGCTAGCCAGAATCTCTGGTTATCTCTAACTAAGACAGTAGAACTTCGCGGTTAAATACCGCTCTTCCTCAATTTGCATTCAAATGTGATTCTAAAAATACGTTCTGGCTGGAAGTTGTAAGTTTAAATTACGAAATGATAGGAAAGAAAATTTAACTCAAAATTTAACTGCTACATAAATTAATATAATCCTTAAAAACATAATGTAAGCTTTCAAATAAGTAAAAATCTTTAAAACTTTATAATGTTGCTTTTGCAAAAAATACACTATTGAAATATCTTCACGGACCATATAAAACTACTTCGGGAGCCTCATGACGCCGACGTGCGCCAGTTTGAGAGCACTGCTAAAAACAACTGAAAATGAATAAAAATATATTTAAAATTTTTGTTCCTGTTAATTGTAATATTCGCAGCAAACGTTGCTTAGGAAATCTTCTAATCCAAAATCCGGGACTGCTTTTTCTCTATTAATTGAAGACAATCAGTACTCATCACAGAAAGAGAGAGCCTTTTAAGGTGATAACACATTTTAATACGTAACACATTACTAACTAATTATATACATAATACACAGAAGAAAAGTGAGGGATTACTATTACTATGAAAGTTCTGTTTCGAGGTAATGTGCATGCGCAGATCACGTCATGTAAAGCCTTTGGCAAGAGTTTTAACGGCGAGAGTTTCAGCAGAATGCAAGAGGAATTTAGTAAGATACATAATTTTGCGCTTTCAATATGCGTTATATTTTCCTATAAGCTATGAAATTCAGGAGGTGCCTCTTTTTAACATTTTAGTTTATAATTTTTAAGGTTTTCAAATTTTAAACTTTAAAAAAATTTTTAAAGCTTTGAATTTTTGAAAAATTTCAAAACAACCTTTATATCATTGAACAGCAACTCTTCAGAATACATAAAAGTTAACAAATAAGTCAGTACAAAAAATAAAGGAGCATGCAGTTTCTTATTTATCATTACAAACAAAGAATTGTAAAAAATAGTGGGCGACAAGAATAATGCGCGTATTAAAAATTCGACACTCTGCCTCTGCGTCTCTAAAATATAACACACTAACTAAAGACATTTTGATAAGTTATTCTTCCAGAAATACTTCATGTGATAAAAACCATTAGCGAATTTTTAGCCCAAAGAGGAAATTTGTCCAGAAGGTCCTATTAATTTCGCTTTGGCATTTCGTGTCGCCCACTATAAAATGTCGTTTCATTTTTCAAATTGTTGAAATATTATTATATATTATTAAAGCCTTGCATTATATTTAAAGGAATTAAATAATGAAGAATTTGCATGAACATATATGTTTTTCGCATTGGAAAAAAACAGCGGTACCTGGCTCGTATGTTAATAACAACTTTACGCCTTTTGATGACAAAAAGTTGATTTAATAAATATCTGAGCTGTTATGAAATTCATTTATATGACTATTCTATTGTTGTCTTGTACATGTATTTCATGGAAGAATGGTTGTCACAGTCTCAAGGAGATTGGACTTCTACTTCAACTCCAATTTTGAGGAAGAACACTAGAAAGGGATTTTGAGGAAGAACACATCCCTCTCCTCTACCATCAAACCACAAGAGAGGACTTTCGGCTCGCCATATATTTAGAGTGTCTCCATTGTCAGACAAGTGAAAACTGAAAATTATATGAAAAACCTTAAAAGGTTTCAATCAAAAATATTCCTACAGTTTATTGTTTGCGATTTCATGCCTCTGGAGTTTTTCTATAGCATTAAGCGTATAAGAAATTGGATAGGACCAAAATGTTCGTTATTTATATTCAAGAGTTTGTTATAAGCCGTATTTGTTTTAGAGAGAGTTAGACTGTTATATTGGTTTCCTCTTCAATAGTGCCTGTGTTTTCAGACCTAACGTTTATATTAAATATAAAAGAATAAAATATAAATTAATGCATTTCTGACAAGGCTAATTGTAATAGTTTCTTGAGATTCAAAGTATAACCGCAGTCAGGTACATTCTAGATAGTTAATTTCGTCCGTTTTATGCGTAATGATTATCAAGTAAACGAGATTAACGTACTAAATACATTTAATACTAACATAAAAAAATTACACCATTAGAAGATTCCGAGAAATAGAAAAGCTATAGGATAAATAATTTAAACCTACAGACAATTTAATTGTTTCTCAAGTATTTTATCTGTAGCCAGTTTGAAAAAAATACTAATTTTTAAAGGTACTTACGTATTATCGCAACCACCTCAAGAAATGTCGCCAAGTTTTTTTAGAAGTCGCCAAAATCTGACAACCATGTGCATAACAGTTCTTTAGGTAACCATGTCCATTGTAATCCGAAAATTCACTGAATCATTTTTTTTCTTCTGTAAAGAATCGCCAAACTGTAACAAGGTCGATGCGCTAATATGTGAGTACCTTTTTAAACCTACACAATTCTATTTTTGTGTTATTTGTATTATTTTTTAAACTTATCTTTTAGGTTTTCATCTGATCAACTACGTAAGAGAAGATTTTGGAAATACCACTCTTGACGTATTGAAAGGAGAAGTAGAAATCCGGACGGAATCGAACGGATCTATACAATTAACTGAAGGACAAAGCTTGAAAGTAAAATGTTTTTATATCTTTACCTATTTGGTGAAAAACATTAGGAAAATGATTTAATATACGTAATCTTTCAACAATTCCGAAAGCAGACTTCAGATAAAACTACGCCAGGAATTTAATGGAATTCAATGTAATATTAAGGTTGTCTGAAAGAGACTTCAAGGATTTAAAATGTAACCTTGAAATTTAATTCTCCGATTATATTTTCAAAACTTTAACTTGATTCTGTAACTTTTGTTTCTGAAATATTTTCTTTTATTTTGCTTTAAAAGAACAGCTCCTTTGATTAATGTGACAGATGTGACTAATTAAAAAAATCTGATGTGTACACCACATGACTTCCTTGTACGGAATATTAAATTATACGCATTTTTTCTTGCATTTTATTTAAACTTATTAGATTGAATTAAACCTACTTCGTCGACAGCACATAAACCACAATAGAATAAATGCATTCTTTAAAATTCACTTTGTTTACTATAGCGACACTCTGGCGCTAGGTTTACTTAACAGTATTATATTTCATTCATATTATAACTCCGAATGCACAAAATGTATATCATTTAAAGAATTATCTAATCGTTGCCACATATTCTATTCAAAAACTATAATAAAGCTAGAACTATGTATAAAAGAAATTAATCAAATAAAACAAAAAAGAAGCAGTTTTTCACAGACGATTGAGTATTTCTCATTTAATTAATTCAGTTCTTACTTCGCGAGAAGGCAAAAATACATAAAACCTCAAAATATCTATATTAAAAATTACGAAGTAAATCTTAAACACTTATTTCCTCGAAACAATTCCAGAAAGAATTAAGCATGGTTTAATTGGCAATAATAAATGAATGCGTTATCTTTCTTGTTGCAAAGCTAAGTTTCTCTAGATTGGCAACAAATCTACTAGTCTCCTGTTTCAAATGTAAACATTAATGGCCGCCATTAAAACAGGCTTAGCGGCAATTAAACAACTTCAAAATTGCTGATAATTCTAAAAATATTGCACACAGATTTACTAAAGGCATAAGATCCTGAACCAGAAGATAAAAACAATATAATTCAATCATTTTTGAAGAAAAAAATGTACAATTTACAAACATATAAGAGTAAAGAAACTGAGATCACTGAGCCGGGTAACAGAGTGGATATATATATAAATATATTCATATACGTTTGGCGCGACCGATTGAAACCAAAATACGAGGTGCACATCTACATGTTATAATAGTCTTATATACAAAATTACAACGTTCTGAGGCTACTCGTTTTTGAGTTATGTGAGATACGTACGTACGCGCGAACGTATATACGTTCGTACAGACGCCACGAAAAATTCTCTTCAGAATTAATTTTAAAGCAGTTTTATAATTTTTTTGAAGGAAAAGAGTTTTATTCTGTCCTTACGTACAGATATCACGCAAAAACATCGTTAAATGGCATTCGATAGCGGTCAAAATGGATATTTTCGTTGAAATATGCTGCCTGAAACTTTTCGCGATTACAATACTTTCTTTTTACTTCGTACAAGGAAGTAAAAACAACTGCTACACATAAATTTAAATAGAATGAAAGTAAAAATTATTAATTAAGAACAAATTAGTATTCTTAATATAATAATTAAGTTAACAAAATTGAAAATTTGACGAAACCTAACTTTCAAACAATTTATTAATATATTTGGAAAATTCCAAACAAGTAATATTAAAATGCACAGTAATCACATGAAATACTGATGTGGTTTATCCGCTAAAATACAAACTGAATTTGCAAAAACTTAGGACTAAATAAAAAATTCCAGCAAATTTGCGAAGCGATAATCGACAACGTTTATTACTGTGACACATCAGCTTCTTTTCCCTAAATTATCGTCTGCCTTACAAACGGAATTTCCCTACACAGTTAATTGTTTACTTTGATCTAGTGAACATCTGCTGTTTTGTATTCGAAAACTGAACGAAGATTAGTAATAAAAAGGAGATCAAAATTTATCAAATAAAGTATGACTGTAGATGAGATGTTCAGACAATACTTCAGTCATTTGCTTGGACTGGAGAACACTCGGCAGCCACAAAAACTTGGATTTCAGAATTATCGAGTAATCTCACAGTTGGATCATCTGCTGTTATGTTGGTCATCTGCTGTTATGTATTCGAAAACTGAATGAAGATTAGTAATAAAAAGAGATCAAAATTTATCAAATAAAGTATGACTGTAGATGAGATGTTCAGACAATTCTTCAGTCATTTGCTTGGACTGGAGAACACTCGGCAGCCACAAAAACTTGGATTTCAGAAATATCGAGTAAATCTCACAGTTGTTATATTTTATGATTGGAAAGGAATAATTCATAAAGAAAATTTTCTCGAGTGATAGATGGTGAACACCGTATTTTGTAAAGACGTTATAGAGAGATTTTTGAACAGAATTTAGCGCAGTATATCTGTAAACGCTCAATCGAATTCCTGATTATGTTTTCTTCAGGAGATTTTTAGCTGCATATTTTCCCAATTCTCAACTATCGCTTTGTCAGATTTGTCAACAGTAGATTAATTTTACTTCCTCATCTTAAAGGTTATTAACTTAAAATCATTGAAGAGATTCAGCAAAACATTTTTCCAAAGCTGAATTTACGAAGAAACAAGCAATTGTATGAATGGCGAAGCTTTGAATAGACTTACAAGGACTGAAAGTAAGAGAGTAGAGGTAAAAAATGTTAGTCAAGAGGTTTTTTTTTTTTTTTTTTTTTTTTTTTTTTTTTTTACGTATTATGCCAACTACCTCGGCACAGTTTGGTAAATTTTAAGGAAGAAAAAAGAACAATTATTTTTATTGTAAAACATTATACATTACATACATCCATACATATTCTACGTTTCAACTATATACAGTGGCTCAAAAAAGTGTTCGCTCACTTACGAGTTTCAGTGAAATAATGCTTAATTCATTAATAAAAACTAAAATTTTAGAATGAAAATTTTTTAATGATATCTATAAATTTCTCTTAGCAAAACTACATTATGACCATATTATATCTTTTTTTTTTTTTTTGGAATATCAATAATAAAAAAGTAACAGAAAAGTTACCTCACAAGTCTTCGTACGCCTTAAAGAAATCTGCACATATTAGTAATTATTGCAGTATTTCTGTCAGTTAGTATTTTGTAGTATATACTGCAGTATTTAAGACAGCTTTCAAACTTCTGGGCGTAGAGTTCACCAGTTTTTTTGTAATTATCTGCATCAATGTTCCGCTATTTTTCCTTCATTACTGTTTTTAGCTCTGTTTTTGTTTTTAATGCTATGTCTTCGTACTTTAACCTCTAATTCTCTGCATATATGTTCTGTTGGGTTTAAGTCCTGGTGACTGAGGTGGTGTTTTCAGAACTTGTGAATAATTATAGACGCCCAAAAGGCGAACGTTGAGGGCTGTTGAGAATAGTTATTCTGATAAAAAATAAAGTTGTTTCCAGTATCCAAATTTTTGTCAGATAATTTTAAATTAACTTTTAAAATATGTAAATACATGGTTAATTGTACTATCAATAAATACTAAATTATTTAATCATAATGCTGACATGCACCCTCACACAAGAATACCTCCACCGCCATGCTTTACCGTACCAATCAAGGTCTTGCGCTAAACCTCCTCATTTTGTTTTCTCCAAATATTTATAAGCCCATCGGAATCCAAAATGTTAAATTTTCTTTCACTTACAAATAAGGCATGATTCTAATACTCTTCGGGCTTATTTACCATTGATTTTGAGAAGAAAAGCCTTTCTATTTTTTGCACTTCCAAAAAAGTTTTTTCGAGCAGAGCTGATCTGAGTACTCGTTGAACATTTTTAAGCGTATTTGAAGTAGAAAATCTTTCCGTAAATTCTGTAGAAGTCTTTAAAAAAACTCAAACATGGATTTTTCACAGATTTTGTAACTTTATGTCTGATCACGTTGAGTCACGTCAAGTCCTCTTTGCCGGACAACCCCTTCTTACTTTATTTTGGATCCGATTTTCGTTTTTAAAGCATTTTATCACATTAAGGCACAATAACACGCCGAATAAATACTATTTCAGAAGACAAACAACAAAAATCAGCGTTATATTTACAAAATTTCCACAGGACTAGTTTCGATGGTTTTACCGAACCACCATCCTCAGCTGCAAAACCGCAAATGAACAACATAGGAAAAAATGATTAGATAAGATAAGAAAGCCTGGACAAGAATAAGCAAGTGGCGTCATCTGTTGGTGAAACCAGAACTAAAACATAATTTCTTTAAAGGCCGAAGGCAAATTTGGATTGGAATTAGATCGTTAACTAAAAACAGAAAGATTTTATGAATGTGAAATGCTCTAGAAAATCCAGTCTCCAATGGAAGATGTTTTTGAATAATTTTGGCGCAGAAAATTGAAAGTGTGATTTCGGACCAACATGTTGCGCAACAGAGGACTGTGTTTCTTTTTTTCTAACATATACCTCATGTTCCTAGACGCGAAATTTTAAGGCTCTCTTAGTTTGGCCAATGTAAATTAAACCACACTGGCAAGAAATCCTATAAATACCCCAGGAATTAATATTCGGAATGGGGTCCTTAAGTATGGAACTCGGAATTTTATTGATGGGAGAATAAACAACGCGAAAGTTAAATTTCTGCAAAATATGTGCAACTTTATAGCTAATTGATGGAAAGAAGAATAAAAAATTCTTCTTTCCATCAATGACAACAGAATTTTTATAATCTCCTAAAACAAGAGTGTGCCTTTTAGTGTGTTGAGATGAGAATTTTTTAACTGCTTGATTAATAATGTTGGGTGAAAAGCCCTGTTAATAGCTATTGTTTTAAATAATTTATTTCTTCATCAAGGGCTAGTTTGGAGGAGCAAACTTGAAGAGCACGGAAAACATAGGAATAAAATGAAGCTAACTTTGTTTGTCGGATGACATGATTTAAAGTGTGGTGGAAGGCAAACCGATGAAGGTTTACGGTAAACTGTAGTA